ATAACATTTTTGATTGGCTGAAATTTCTGCAGTGCACTTTATTATTATAGTATGTCTCCTTAGTCTTTTTAATCCCCAGCACATGCTGTTACTATTTGTCAAAAAATATATCATCAAATTTCCTATTCATTTACTCCTTCAATATTACAAAATAGTTTTTCAAGATTCAGTTTTGTATGCTCTATTTAGTGCTGTCTACATTTTTTTGAATGAACATTTTTTTTTTCTTTTCTTTGGCATTTAAGATAAATATGACCAAATGTGACTGATAACACGCTGTTAAAAACAAGTTTAATAATTGTGGGAATATTTTCATAATACACAGATTTTCATTTTAAAAAATGTAGACAGCACTAAATAGAGCATAAAAAAAAGTTTTTCATATTTGTATTTTTTTTTAAATGTATGTACATTTATAACACTATTCTTTGTATTATATCACCTTTGCATCAAATTATAAAAAAACATGCGAGGGTGTTTCTAATGCAGCGTCTATGGGAGGGATGGTAAATTTGACAATGTTCTGTCTTCTGACAGCCAATATCAGTCTCTCTCAATTTTTTTCCTTTTATTGAAAGTCATGAAAACTAACACTATTCTTTGTATTATATCACCTTTGCATCAAATTATAAAAAAACATGCGAGGGTGTTTCTAATGCAGCGTCTATGGGAGGGATGGTAAATTTGACAATGTTCTGTCTTCTGACAGCCAATATCAGTCTCTCTCAATTTTTTTCCTTTTATTGAAAGTCATGAAAACACTATCGTGGAGTTTTTCTTTTGCTATTTGAGCAAATGGGAATGCAAAAAATATATTTGTGGTACTCTCCCATTCACTGCTCTTCAAGTTAACCCAACTATGACGACTTCCGCTGCTGAGAAACCCGGGAAAATTACTACTAAAAGGCTGACTATTACATAACTACTGTAGCACAGACTACATTCTGGTGTAAATCCAATATCTGAGCAACCACAAGAATGCACACAGATTAAAGGGCATTGCCTCTCCAGGGGAACACACTGTATATCACTCAGTGGCAATGGACACAGTCTTTCCTTTTTACCCTAAAGTACTGGTTTCCCCTAGTTGAAGCTGTGGGGGTTGGGGGGGAGTATTTTTTTCTACACAATGTCACAACTGTAAATAATCCCCCTTCCCCAGCACTTATAAAAACAACTAGCTACTATAGAAATATTCACAGACTCAATAAATGAGCTTGTGGTGAAAATTATGTATTTCTGCACGCAATGGGTTCATAAACAGACACAGGCTAACCATAAACAGAGATAAAGTTACAGAGCACATGCTACATTAAGCAAAAAAGTGTACCCTACAGTCTGTTTTTACCTGCTTCAGAAATTCCATCACAGCATTTCTTGAATTTCTTAATCACTGGCAGACAATATGGCTGTGAAAAGTACAAAAGTACATGACCTCTTAAGCTGACCTATTTCAGCACTCATTTCGTTCTGTGTTTTCAGTAAATGATTTACGATGTTTTACTGAGTGAAAAACCACTCCGAACTAACCATATTCAGTGAAAAGTAAACTTAAACGAGTGATTCACTTATTATGCGTCCGTTCAGATTCTAAACAGTCGAAGGAAAAACACAACAACGACTTGCTAAAATATTGTCTGGGAATAAGGTGGTCTTTCTCGTCAGATAGGGACTTATCAGAACATGTTACTTAGGGCATGGGGTACATGTTGGAACACAGTAGTAAAAGTAGCTTGGTAAATCAGCGACCTCCCCTTACGAAAAAGAAGTTTATTCAAGTGTGATATTAGTATACTTCTTTTAAACTAAAAATAGCAAAGTTTACGTTCAGTCTACTTTTTATGTACTTCTCAGAAATATGCTTAAAATGACATTTAAGTATACTTGACTTATACTTAGAAAAAGCCTAAATATATTTGAGCTATACTTGTGCTTGTTATACGGTAGGGGGCGCTAGTACACATCTTCTGTACAGAATTTCCAAAGAAACACAAGTGAGGAAGACACTGAAACAACAGATGCTTCCACATGTAATCTAAGACGATCATCAGACATAAAACAGCATCAAAACTGTGTAACGTTATGGAATAAAATGAAGAGGTAATAATGACGGTCAAGCTTTGGGGTGTTGATCAGCTTCATCTATGTTTTGATTATCATTCTGAATCCAATTAATAGTCTTTTTTCAGCTTTGTGTTCAAAGTGTTGTTTATTTCTTTCTTTATTTTTAAAACTTACCCACATTCAAGTGTTTATAAAAAAACTATGCATGTAGATAGAATAAAATGTTTTTGTTTACAAGCAGATACCCTGTTCTTTCTTTTGATGTTTTGTATGTTCAGATATTCATATAACAAAATATATACAAATTAATTCCTAAATAGGGACATAGTAGTATACTTAAAGTATGATGTAAAGTTCACTTAAAGAAAACTTACGAGTATACTTGCAGTATAAAACTACTAAACTAGTAGTTTACTGAGACTATACTTCAAAGTGTACTAACAATGCTACAAGTATTTAATTAGCAAACTATCATTATACCTATAAGTTCACTTGTAGTATAGTTGCAGTACAAACTAAAAACATAGATGTAAACTAGTTGTGTACTCAATACTGTTATACTTAAAAGTATACTTTTATATACTAGAAAGTGGGCCAATTTAGTCCCAAGGAGTATTGAAATAGTACACTTACAAGTATACTACTAGTACACTGATATTTGTATACTTGCTACATAAAGTATACTTAAAATATACTTTAACTTTACTTTACTTAAGTATACTTAATAAAATAAACTTGAAGTATACTACTTTTTGGTAAGGGTCCTCAAGTTGTTATGAAGTGTAATCTTCATGGATTATAACCAGGGTGCGAATTACACAGTGACCACACAATTTCTTGTTTTAAATAGGGCTGTCAAGTGATTTTAAAAAAAAATGTGCCTATTAATTAATCAAATTAATCTCAAATTAATAAGATTCGTTAATTAACATGCACATCATGTGCCGATGAATTGAAGATAAAGTTGTTATTAAAGATAATAGTTATTGTGTTAATTTAGAAAAAAACACTGAATAGACATTACAAAATGTAGCTTTAGAAAGAAATATTTTAATTCAACATACAAAAATACAAAGAAATAGGCTAGTGAAATATTAAATTATTTTTAAAAAGAAACAATACTTTAAATATAAAACTAAAAGCACCAGTAGGTAGTCTTAATTAGTGAATGATTCAGTCATTCATTCAATCGATTCGTTCAAACGGCTAATTCATTCAGAAACGAAGCAAGTGTGTCAGCATCCTACCTCCTGTAGTTTGTCTCCGTGCCCCTAGAGGTCCCTGTTTTTTCCTCTGCCTTAGTTCTTCCTTGTGTGGCCTTGTTAGCGTTATCCAAGTCACCTGCGCCTTGTTTTCCCTGTCATCCTGGTGGTTGTGGACCGGTTCTCTAAGGCCGCCCGGTTCATTCCCCTGCCCAAATTGCCCTTGGCCAAAGAAACAGCAGAGCTCCTCATGAACCATGTCTTCCGGGTGTTTGGAATTCCCCTAGATATTGTCTCCGACCGAGGGCCCCAGTTCTCGTCCCGGTTCTGAGGGGCCTTCTGCATGCTGATCGGTGCCACGGCCAGCCTATCGTCTGGGTTCCATCCAGAGTCTAATGGCCAGGCGGAACGGATTAATCAGGATCTGGAGACCACTCTGCGGTGTATGGCGGTCAATAACCCCACCTCTTGGGCTACCTACATCATGTGGGCTGAATATGCCCACAACACCCTCCAGTCCTCGGCCACTGGACTATCCCCCTAAATAGTTTTCTCCGTAAATTCAGTTCAACAGCATTATGTTGAAGAGCGTAAACTTTATCTCTCGACTGAATCTGCACATGTATTTCAGGTGTTCTTGCTCCGTCCAATAAATGCTCGTCTTTGAATGAGCACTGTAGCGTATTCTTCAACCGCTCAGGTACTGTCAATACGACCCATTTCAGGGGCTGCCAAAATTACATTTTTAAAATCAGTCAGAGTTATAGAAATACATATCAATATTTACAAGTAAATCTCCATATTATGCGTAGGCTGGTCTACTTTCTATCTGACCCCCCCCCCATCTAGTTTTGACGTCCGTCAGTGGGGATCAAGCCTTCTTTAGTGGGGTCAGACCCCCCAAACCCCCCACCCGTAATTCGCACCCTGATTATAATTTGATTGGAGAACAGGACATCACAGCTGAATATCACTCCTAAACAACCCGTAAGATAGTTTACAATATTAGGCTCGGATGTAAGTATCTTTCTAAACGTCGCCTTTGCGATGAACTGTTTGTGTCAGCTTTTGGTACTTGTTTCTGTACATTATTTTAACTCTTTCTTGGCACTACACTTATACTGATCTGTTTTAGTATTATTATGTATAGTAGCCTAATTAGTGATACCAGGAAATCGCATTTCCTATCAGAATTTGTAAAGATCATGGGGTCTATCTCTCAGTCTGCTCAAATGCATTATTATATGTACACGTTCACACAATAAATCTGAGACATGGAGCATTATTCCACTTTTTATTTATTTTGCAGCAACCAGTTAAAGTGTTTCTCTTACAACATTAATTTGATTACTTTGGCTATATAGGCCTATGTTAAAAGAAAAGTCATTGCTTATTAAGAAAATTATTTGTATTTTAAAATATGCATTGTGTGTTTTTCAAGTCCATTGATTCCATCATACTGTAGGTGCAAATGCTTTTGGGTGAATAAAACATTTACATATTATTTTCTTTTTTTTTCTCAAGGCTGCAGAAACAGATTTTATATGCAATTATATAGTTTTCACAAAATAAATTACATTAAAGAAACAAATGACTGTGTGATACAGTCAACAGTCTTTAATAGCCACATTAATTTTATAATTAATTATATAATTAATTTTAAATTTTATTTGTGATTATATCTGTTTAATGGTGTTTGCTTGATTACCAAGTTTGTACTATAAACAATATTCCCAAGATATCAGTTTTACAATAAAGCACACTGACAACCCACACATACAATTATAACATAATTTTTTTCCTATTTTTTTCTCCAGTGGGTATAGATTTTTAAAAGTCTTTTAAGCTTAAAATCTCTGTTAGCTAAACAATACTCTGTGATATGTTCATAAGTATCAGCACTCTTTTGCATAATAGCATTACAATTCAGCTGGCTTATATGATTATATAAGAGAACACTGAAACATACATTCAAAAGCATAAAATCAAATCAGCAAGATCTCATGTTCATTTCCCATTCTCATCAGTAGAGGAATCCATATGTCTTAGAGATGTTTCAGAGCTCACTATTGTGACTTTTTCAGTTGTTGCTACACTGTCAAAAAACCTCATTTTCTCAATGTGTACTGTATCTTTTAGCCTACGAATTGAGGAAGCCGTCTCATCAGAAATGGGTTCTGCAGAGTCTCCTTCAAATACACGTGTTGTCTGTGTCACAAGTATTGTCTCTTTGTCATCATGTAAAGTTTCTTTCACAACATGCCTTTCCACCAATGTGCGTGTCCCACTTTGCACTCTGGTTTCCTCCACTGTCAACACTGAGTCTGAGCCTAGTGTTATTTGTAAAGGTGAGGTGTGAATTCCATGCGCGTCTAAATTAGTTAAGATTGAGGCTTGCTGTGTTTCTGGTATAGCTTGTATGTTCGATGTGATGATGTGAATTTCCCCTGACATCTGTTTCAGAGTGTCCAATGAGGCTGAGGACATATCTGATGAGAAAGGGATGTTGACTTTTTCTGGCTGGTGAGGCTCCATTGATATCAGTTCACATCTGGCTGTGGAAGTCACAATATCAGTTTGCACATCATTGAGCCCAATGGTGGCAGTGGGTTCAGCATATTTCACTGTAACTTTTGTAGGTGAGGTCTGTGACAGACCAATCTGCTCAGTGGTTACTGTAGAACTGATATCTGCAAAAGCTTCAGATGACTTCAGTGACAGTGTTGGGCTGAGGTTTTCCTCCACAGACTCACTGAGCAAGTTCTTCTCAGGTTCCTCGTGTTCCTTGCTTGATTCTTTCTCAACATCATCAAGCTTCTCAGCCTCTTCAGGTGGTTGGATTATTTCTTTCACATCTGTTTTTGACGTTTTGGTTGGAGAAGAAAATGAGAACTTGAACCAGCTTCCTTTCTCAGTTTTTGCTTGTTCTTTGCTAACAGTTGCATTCTGATCTGCTGAAGCCTCCAGATGCTTTTCACTTTCTTCAATCTTAGCGTCAACCAATTTATCACTTTCATCTGAAGACTGGCTGAATCCTAATTTTGGAAATTTAAATTTAAACTTTGATTTCTCCTGAGCTCCTTTGTCCTTATGTTCTGCTGCTTCCTCAACTTTTGCCCCAGCCTCCTGATCTTGCTTAACAGATGGTTTGTCCTTTTGTGCTTCCGTTTCCTCTATTGTTGGAACATTAAATTCAACTTCAAAGCCCCTGAGAACATCCTCAAGTGTAGGCATTGTAAATTTGGGTGATTTTCCAGCCCCTTGAGTATCATCTTTGGGTTCTATTTTAGCACCTGGAGCGCTCACTTTGGTGGTTGTGTCATCTTCTCCTTCCTGAGATTTTGTTCTTGAAATGCTGATCTTTGGCATTTTTATAGTAGGAAGCTTGAATTTACTTGGGGAGCCTTTGACCCCATCCAGTTTTTTAGTAGCAGCCTCTGTAGGCTGTTCGGTGGTTTCTTTAATTTCACCCTCTCTTTTTGTTTCTTTAGACACTTGTACAGGATTGTCTTCAATATTTAGGTCAGTGTCTGGTACATCTACTTCTGCAACTTTTACTTTTGCATCAGATGTTTTTTGAGCCGAAGTTCCAAATTTGGGCATTTTAAAAGTAGGCAATTTGAATTTACTTGGAGAACCTGAAACAACTGTAACTTCTTTCAGCTCTGTCTCTACCTCTTTTTTTTCAAGGCTGGAACTTCCCTCTAAAGCCATGTCTATTTTTGGGAGACTTGCATCTTCTACTGCGACCTTGATTTCTGGTTCAATTATCCCAGTTTCAAGTGTTTCTGTCTTTACCTTTTTTGCAGTCAACGTCACCTCAGGACCTTTTACTTTGGGTAACGAAATCCCAAATTTTGGAAGTTTAAATTTAATTTCCTGACCCTCTTGATTAAGTTCTTTTTCTTTTATATTAATATCAATAGATGGGGTTTCAGTCTCTGCAGTTTTGCCTTTGATGTCACCTGATAGATCTACCTTTGATGTCTCTATCTCATAATCCACAGAACTAATTTTAATTTCCTTGGTTTCAGAATCAGCCTTTGCTGCATCACTAGGGACCTTTGGAGAGGAAACTCCAAATTTGGGTAATTTTATTGTTGGGAGTTTGAATTTTGTTGGCGAGCCAAATTGTGGACTTGTTATTTCAGTTTTGCCCTCTGTCTCACTTTCTCCTATTTCTGTAGTGCCCTCTGGCAGGGATATATCTGCTGCCGCTTCACTGGCTTGAATATCTTGGGCCTTGCCATCTGATTTTGAAAATCCAATTTTTGGAAATCCAAAGCTTGGTATCTTCATTTTTACACTAAGTCCCTTAGAACTCATATCAGTTAAATCTGCTGGTTCCTCAGCCACAACATCTTTTACTGTAACAGATTCTTTAACATCAGTTTGAGAAACCTCTGCTTTTGAAACACTTATGTCAATTTCTGGACTTTTCGATGCTTGTAGAGAAATTCCAAACTGTGGTAGTTTGATTTTACTTTCTTCTACTTCAAGTTCAGCACTTTTAGTCTCCACATCCACTTCCACTGATCCTTTGGGTAACTTTAGCTCTTTCTTGTCTATAGATAGTATATCCCCTGACATTTTCACTTCTGTTTCGGTCCGAGCTTTCCTAAGCCCTTGGTCACCATCTGGACCTTTAATTGTTGGAAGAGCAATCCCAAATTTTGGAAGCTTAAATTTGCCCTCTTGTTGTTCTTTATTATCTCCCTTAATGTTTATCTCAATGGATGGACCTTCAACTGTTGGCCCTTTCATTTCAACACTTAACACTTCTCCTGACATGTTAAACTTCTTATCAGGAAGGCTTACTTCTGGAACATTGATGTCCACATGTGCCATAGGTATATCAACTGTGTCCTTTGATGCTTTGGTTCCAAATTTTGGGAAATTGATTGTTGGAAGTTTAAATCTTGTTGGAGAGCCAAAAGTTTCCTCCTTCAAATCAGGTTCTTGTTCTGGTAATTTAATGCCTGCAGACTGCACTGAAACATCAACATTTCCCGCTGATGTGCCCATGTCAGCTTTGGGTAGACTCACATCAATTTCAGGAGCCTTAAGATCTGGTTTTGAAAATCCCAATTTGGGAAGTTTCACTTTCAGCCCTCTCGAGTCAACTTGAACTTTATCTGTTTTCCCCTCAATGGTCATATTTTGGATTTCAACACTGGGCTGTTGTACATTTACCTTTTCTTCGCATAGCAGGTCAGTCTCTATGTTTATTTCTTTTCCCTCCATCTCTATCCCCTTTACTTTTGGCATGCCAATTCCAAATTTTGGCAGCTTGAACTTACTTCCCATCCCATCAGCATCAATTTCTTTAACCTTAATGTCCACACCAACCGATGGCCCTTTAATGTCTATGTTTGGTTCTGTGTCAGTGGTTTGTAACTCTACTTTTTCTGGGAGACTGATTTCAGGTTCTTTGATATCCACTTCAACTGCTGGAATATCAGCTGTAGCTTTTGGATGTTTGAGTCCAAACTTTGGAAGGTTGATTGAGGGCAGCTTAAATTTTGTTGTATCTCCTTGTTTCACTTCATCTGTAATGGTGATTTTTGCATCTACGTCTTTAATAGGTATGTTGCCCTCTTGCATAGACATATCTACCTTTGGTTGACTGGCATCAACATATTGTCCCTTAATATCTGGCTTTGAAAAACCAAATTTTGGAAGTGAAAAGCTTGGCTTCTTCAGTTTCACATCAAGCCCTTTCAAGTCAACTTCAGGCATATCTGCTTTGCCTTCAATGGATATGTCTTGAATGTCAACATTAGGTTGGGGTTGTATTATTTTTCCTTCTGCTAGATGAACATCAGTTTCTCTTATTGTGGCATGTATATCGGTCTCTATTTCTTTTACATCTAAGTCAATTTTTGGTATTTGACTTGACACCTTGATATCTGGTTCATGAGCAGTGATTCCGATTCCTTTTATGTCCTTATCTGCTGATGGTAAACTTACTGTAACTTTTGAAGTTTTGACTCCAAATTTTGGCAAGTTAATTTCTGGCAGTTTAAATTTGGTTGGGGAACTAACAATCGTTAGATCTTTCTGTTCAGCCTCTCCTCCAGAAAGTGTGACGTCTGCTGTTTGCTCTTTTACAGGTACATTGACCTCTTGTATGGACACTTCAGCCTTTGGTGCACTAACATTAACCTCTGGAGTTGAAGTGTCTGGTTTAGAAAACCCAAACTTGGGAAATGAAAAGCTTGGTCTCTTCACTTTTACTTGGAGTCCTTTGGAGTCAACCTCAGGCATGTCTGCACTCCCTTCAACTTTAGCTTCAGTATTGGGTGGTTGTACTTCTAATTTCACATCAGGTTTAGAAATGTCAGTTTTTAAGTTTGTTCCTTCTAATTCTGGATCTGTCACATTAATTTCTAATGCTACTTTTGGTGATTTAACACCAAATTTCGGGAGGCTTATAGACGGGAGTTTAAACTTTGTTGGGGATCCAAAAATTGTTGAACCTTTTTGGTCAGACTCCATCTTTGACACTTTAATATCCACATTTGCTTCTTCTAGGTCCATACTGCCTTCAGGTATGGGGATATCAGTTTTTTGAATACTTACATCAACTTCAGGGGCTTTTAATTCTGGTTTTGAAAACCCAAATTCAGCTGATGTCTTCATCTGCACATCTAGACCTTTAGAATCTTGTTCTGGTGGGTGAACCATCCCGTCAATTGTTATCTCAGGTGTTTTTATATCAATTTGTTGTACTTCAGTTGTATCATCTGACTTTGATGTACTTAAATCAAACCCTTTTACTCTAGGAAGGCCAATACCGAACTTTGGCATCTTAAA